CTTCGGTGTCTGTATAGGATAAACATCCCCATGCTACCCAGTATCCAGAAAACACTACCTACCCCCACAGAGTCCAGTACTGCTCCTATTATCACCATCATCATCATCATCCATCACCATCATTACCATCACCACCGGTACCATAATCACCACCATCTTCCACACTTCCATCACAGGTCACCACCGCATCACCATATTGATTATAAATGGTAGCCATAACCTTATTTTTTAGACCAACTTACTTGAAATCACCACTTTATTAAACTACATAAAATTCTGTTAATTGGGACCCAAACAGTTATCTTTCTAACCATCACATTTTAATGAAATATAGATAAGTCAACATCATTTTTAACACTTTGGATTAAGGCAAATGTATTCCTGGAATTCCTAATAATATTCTCCAGGCACAGAACACAGCAATTATGCTTTTTACTTCTCAATCCTGAGACCAACCATACAGGTGCCCCCCCCCCTTAACCTCCAGATTGCTTGAGCACTCAAGAGTAAGATGGCAGGTTGAAGAGGGAACTCTTCAAAACAAAATCATCCATCAGCTCACTGCAAGAGCTGAACCCACAAAATAAAACTCCTTAGGAACTTGGATGAACTGCCGCCGCCAGCTCTTGGTGAAATTCCACATGCTTTCACTCGGTTCGGGGTGTGCGCAAACTGCCGTACTCTTTGGATGGATCTAGAATCTCTCTGGGAGTGTGTATTTTGATTCTAAACATGTATAACCATTCCACATTTCCCCTTCCTGAATAAGTGAACTGACACTCAACATTAAAATGAAAAACTGATTTGCTTCTTTCTCGACATCCGTCCACAGTCTCCTGCGGCAGAAGGAGGGGGGCACACTATACACTGCTCTCTCAACCTGGACTTTCCCAAATCACACTAAAAGAATTGCTGCCAGCACGGGGAAGACAGAGGAGGATTCATCTTGTGTACTGTGTGGAGTTGGTAAAAACATGATTCAAATCTGTGAAGTTCCTGATACGAAACTTTCCACATACCACTTGGATGTTCTACAAAGGTACCCATAACCCACATGTTCCTTATGATGAGCAGAGCGCAAACAAATGTCATGTAGTAATAAAGATTTCATTTAGATTTGGGCTTGCAGGAAAAAAAAGATTTCATGTTGCCGTCACTCCCCATTTGTAACGATACTCCTAGCCGCTCAGATCTATCCTTTCCTCTTGCTCTAGTGCACATAAACATACTGACAGATAGTCAGATGTGGGTAAAGTAATAAAAAAAATGCCTAATGCTGTGTAGACATCACACTGCCTTCACATGCACAGTCTCATGCGGAAAAGCACTATGTTCTCGTCATCCTGGAAAGGCTGGCATCCTTCACCATTCTCCCTGCTGTCCACTACCCTGCCTTCTATGTTTTTCAAGTATAAGAAATCAAATGTGCTCAACCTGAATTTTCTCAAATTATGAACTTGGGAGCATATATTTATGAATATATATTCGTAAAAGGTAAATAACAAAAAACTGTGGAGTTGGAGCCAAGTCAATGGAAACAGAAGTTTGGACTAAGTGGCAGTTACCCCTAAGAGCTCTCTTCAAGGCGGGTACAAGCCGCATGGGGCCGGTGAGAGAGAAAATGGGTTCAGAGGTACGATGCCATCTAGACCCAAGCGTACACTCCTTCCAGAGTGTGCAGCGCTATTCTTAGACCGATTTGACATGTCAAGTAGTCGGCGACAATTTAAATGATTAAAACATGTAGGAGCCGAAAGAAAAAGAGTGGCCAGCTCCTTCAAGTACATGGGAGGAATCATCGGAAACTGGAATATTAGTCCCGCAACTCTCTCCCTGGTCCTTCTCGAAGTTGAGAAGTAGTCTTCATTCATCACTATAGACAAACTAGTTCACCAGACTCTACAGACATCAGTATCCAAATTATCACGGCATTGGCTGATGTGGAAGGAAGTTTTGTTTTGTTTTAGTAGAAAAGTGGTTTAGAAATACTGACTAATTAAACTAAAATTAAAATGTTCAGGCAGCACTAAACACCTATGTTAAATTTTTGGCCAAGATAATCGTTTCATCTTTCACTTTCTTTAAAATTCTCAAAGTTAGCTAAAACCTAAAGAAGAATTCTGGACAAAATGACTCCATGAAATTTTCAGTAAGTAGCAGCCTATGAAACCACAGCTTGTCTATTATGAACATGTCTCGGTAACAAGTTAGCTTGGCCGGGGACAGCATTTCTTGCTTTATTACAAGCCCCAAGCAATTCTACCTGCTATTTCTCTTTGTAACCAAATATGGCTGCACAGTATGGCCAATGGAAAAGGTAGCGACAGCATGCAGATGCTGAATAATTCAAACTTCACCCAAACTTCCTGAACATCCCTGTGGTCCACTGGGACATGCAGATGCAGAACTCACAAAGCGGCCCTGTTCCACCACCAGAAATAATAAATCTTAGCCTAACTGGCCCACAGACACCAAGGCAATGCATATAGAAAAAATAAAATATAGATGGACAACTAGGGTTTTTTTTGGGGGGGTGTATAAACAAAACTACAGCCACTTGCCTAAATGGTTTATTTTCTCCTGAACACATTTTAAGGCCTGTATCTCCCAAACTTCTTTAACCTCAACCCACAGTAAGAAGTGTTTCACTAGTCTAGGATCCATAGGCAAAGAAAGTGAAGCCCGTCCTAACTGCGTTGTCCTGCGCTCTAAGACACTAAGATCTTTCAGGTTTTGTTCCATTTTCAAAACTTAGACCTGGTAAACTGACTTCATCGTGCACCGAATCATGAGAGGCAATTTGTAAAAACTCAGCGTTCAGCCCCCAAACTATTGAGAAAAACTACTTAGAAAAAGTAAAGAGTTTTTTTAAAGGCTCTGTTCAACTGTTTTCTTTCTTCTTTTTTTTTAATCCAGAATTATTCAAAAAAGAAAATCTCAGAAAGAAAAAAAATATCATAAAGCACCCATTTGAAACACTTGCATAGACTTTTCCCTAATTAATAAGAGGCACAATTCAAACAAAACAGCAAAGGTGGTATAGAAAATAAGCCAAATAAGAAAATCATCCTAAAACTAAATTTCCACCCAGAATTCCACCTATGTGCAATATATTTTTAGCTTTACTTTTAAGAATCCCTCTTCATTTTGTGTTTTTTTTTAAGTATCAGAATATAATTTGGAGTAGAAGTTTAAGATGGGATATTATATGGTAAGATTCTTTGCCCCAAAGATGATGGGCAGTGTTGAATAAAATGTGATCCTTCTTTATTTTCCCATGCTCACTTTGCAATTATTAGCAAGGCAGTAAATAACCCGCCAAGGAGCAGCCTCATTAGTCCCCATTGAAATTCAGTGGCATTAATTTGCAATAAAAGAACTGAAAATTAAATGGAAAAGAAAATACTTTTGGGACTCCACCACAAGGTTAGAGGATTCACATTCTACCAATACGGTCCTTAACATCAAGGAATTTTAAAAGTATGAATTAGACTTAATCGATGTATTTTGTTCCTCAGGCTTGGAGGGAAAAAAAAAGTCGAGAGAATGAATTCTTTTTCACTTCCATCTTAACCCTGAATTAAAGCACATTAGATGAATTTGAACCCAGCAATTTTTTTAAGTTTTGTTCGCTGTTTATCCTGAATGTAAAAACTGGGCCTGGACCCACTTCAGTATCTGATGCCTTGGTTCCCTGAGTGAGTGGGCTGAAGGTGAGCTTGGATACACCGAGAAATCACCTTTCAATATCCTCTGGGGCCAATCTGCACCTTAGTCCTGTTTCTTCTGCTATAAATACATCTGGAAACAGAACACTGAGCAAAAAAATGGTCCACGGCTTGTAATGCAGAAGGTCTGGGCAGAGGCAGGAGCCAACTGCCCGGAGCCAGCCTACAGTGGCTTTGATTCGGCAGCGTGTGGGCACCTGAAGACTCCATACCTGGCCCATGTGTTATTAGGCAACTCTTCAGGTAGGTGTTTACCAAAACCACCCACCTAAGCCTTCTGCAGGCCCACGGGGGCAAGGCAGAAATGAGAGGAAAGGGACATGAAAATAAATAATAATAATAATAATAATAATCTCTTAGGAGAAACTAAAACTGAGGACACAAAACAATAGTCACTTGGGTCACAGAGAGTCTCTGTGTCCTGGATTCCCCTGTGTCCCGGACTGCCCTGGCTTCTTGCACAGTGCCTGCTTGAGGGGCAAGACGGAGCTAACTCGCGTGCCACTCCAGAGCATTCTCTGCTTGCTGGGCTGGACATGCAGCTTAGCTGAAGGGGGATTGCTGCTTCTGTGTGGCATGTTCTAAACACACGGGACACCTATAAATTCCCAGTCTGCTCGAACTCGAACTCGGCCAGAAATCAAGACTGGGTTGAGACCCATTCACCTCCCAAACTCCCAGGCCAGCTCCTTTGAGCAATCCGAACTCAATCCAGAGCCCTGGAATGGAGAACAGAGGCCAAGAGATCTACCTAAAACTTCATCTTCTCCAGTATACCTTACATGTTTCCAGGCCAAAACTCTGGGTGAAAGAACACTGAACCGACCCACTGAAACATTTTTTTAAAAAATAATGACTAATAAATCTCCCCTGGGCTTCACTAACCCACACACCTCCACCTTTAAATAATAAAGGGGATCCTTGTACTGACCACCTGGGGTTTACTCGCTTTGGGGCATTCTCCCCGTAAATAACTTCTTTGGACTGTTTTCCAATGCTTGTGTAGTTAGGAAACACGGGCCCTTTGGATCCGCCCCTCCCACAGACAGCTGTGGGTGGAGAATATTGTTGTTGTTGCTGCTGCTGTTGTTGTTGGTATTGTTTTTAAGCTGCCAAAGGAGAAAAAGCGGGCTCCGCAAAGAATCCTTCCCGACTTCCTCGAAGGGTGGGAGGGGGCGGCCTGTGGCCCGCGAGGTCCCCCCCCCCGCCCTCCTCGCGCTCCCTCCCCGGGCCAGACCTGGCACAGAGGCCCACCCGACGTGGCGTGGGTACCTGAAGAAGGCGGGAGGGCCGGCGTCGCGCACGGCGGCGGCGTAGGCGTTAGGCTCATTCTCCAGGTAGTAGGGCACCTGCTGGCCGTGCGGGTGCAGGAAGGGCGACAACTGTGGCGGCGGCGGGTGCAGTAGCATCAGCGGGCTGGGCGACACGCTGTTGAGCTGGGGGAAAGCCCCCAGGCTGTTGGCACCGAAGGCGGCAGCCTCGGACCCGGGGCCATAGGCGATGCCCGACTGGCCGTAGACCGGCGCCGTGGCAGCCGCGGCTGCGGCGTTGAACTCGTAGGCGGCGCCCTCGGGGTAGTTGAACACAGCGGGCTTGCTGCTGTCCACGTACACCTCGCCCAGGGCCCTCTCCAGGGGCACCTTGAGCTGCTGGCGGTTAAGGGGCTCCAGCTCGTTCCCTTGGATCTGGTGCAGCAAGGCCATTCCCGAAGCTTTGGTGTGGAGGGTCATGGTCATGGTCAGGGGCGGCCGGCGAGGTGCAGGCAGGCTCCCTGCGCACGCAGAGCGCTCAGCAGCGGACGGGCCACCTGGAAAAAAAAAGAGGAGAGAGAGAGAGAGCAGAGCGGGCGGTGAGAGGCGACGCAGCTCAGGTCCCTCTGGGCGCGAGCGCTGGCCCAAGCCCTGGCCCCTTCCCAGGGGCAGAGCGAGCCTGCAGAGCCCAGGTGGCCCAACTCCAGCGAGCGCACCCCGCCACTCTCTAACTTTACATACTGGTCTTCCCTGCTCTTAGACATCGCAAACCTGCTGGAAGCTGCCGACCCGGGGCTGCTGCTTTCAGGCACCGGTGGAAACATCACACCGCGCGCGCACCCAAAGAACCGCTTCCCTGAACTTAACTTTCCTGGTCTTCGCTGCTGGATTTCGCTGCAGGGGGTGTGAGGGAGCTGAGGGATCTCCAGCAGCCGCGCCCCCCACCCCCAACCCCAGCAAGACTAGGGTTGCAACAAATGCAGACTAAGCCACAGGCCGCTTTTTTCCTGATTCCTTTTTTGCCTGTGCGCCGGTGCCAGGCTCCAATCTGTCTCTGTTTGTCTCTTTCTGTTTGGTTCGGTGTTCTTGTTGGCTAGAAGGACGTAGTGTATGCATAGAATGACCCAGGGAGGACGTAACTGTATCTGTAACTGAGATATGGCAAATAGGATGGCGTGTGTGGTTGCATATGCAGCCAGCCACAGACAGCTATATTTAGCATTGGCGGAGACAGATAGCAGGCATCTAGGGCCAGGAGAGCGGAGATGGAGCGTGTATAGGAAGATCTGCACTTGGAGTCAAGAGAAAAGTGCTATCCTTCAGCTTCCAACATCTGAAAAAAGAAGAAAAAAAGCGCTCCCCAAGGGGTCCCTTCCAGCACAGCCATCATCACAGATTCGCTCAGCTTGGCTTTTCTGTTTTTGTTGGACCCCAATACCAAATTCGCTTCCTTTTGAAATTCTCATGCGGATATGATTCAGAAAAACCTTCAGTTAGGCGCACATGGGTGTCCCTGCCTTCCACAGGTTATGCAACCAAAACTTGAGAAAACTGAACGTGAACTGAGACGTTTTCCCATAAAATATCACCTGGGCTCCTTAACCAAAGCTCTGGCAATTAGATAACCCTGTCTGTCTAACCAGAAACTTGGGAAAGACTCTCCTGTCTTTCAGCTCTTGAATTCTACAAATGGACCCTCTTGGCTCACTTGGGGTAAGGCACATGGAATCAAATATTCTCATGACAAAGAGGTAACAAGTTTATAATCCAGTATTGAATTAAACTCTGATTGTATATGTATACACACACACTTGTTAATGTAACAAAAGATATAAATTTATACTTTTTAAAATAAACTGCTTTTGCCCCAACCTGATAGCCCCTAAAATAACAATTAACATTTGACTTTAATCGCTATCCCACAGACCCCCTAAAGAGTACCTGATACATGCAAATGTCAAGGTTCGCTGTTACTAATAGTAACACTTTAAAAATATTCTCTACCAAGTACACTTTATCTAATTCTTAGAAAAACAGATCATTTTGGATGATACTCAGCTAAGCTGATTTAAATCCAAAGACAAAGTTGAGTTGAGCATCCCCTAAGGACAGGGGATAGTAAAGAAAGGGTTAAAAACACATTAGGTGAATCGCAGATATTTCTCTTTATGGCCAGCAACCATTACTTTCTAGAGCAATCTTTTTACAGATGATTTAGTTTCCGTAAATCACACTTTCAATTTTCAAATGCCTTTTTAAAACACATGCAAAAGCAAGCATTTCCTGAGGCTCTTTAAAAATCTGAGCCTGCCAAATTACATACAAATGGCACAAAGAATCCTACAAGTCCAGAAAGCGGGGGAAAGGAGCCGAACAGATTCCCCCGATAGGAAAACAGCGCAGGCTCCTCTCCGGCTAGGATACAGACAGTAGGCAGAAAGGTAAGTTGCTTTCTCAAAATGCTCAAGCTACAGAGAGAGAAATCAAAAGACGATCCTACCCTGCTGGTTCAAGAGCGCCTTTCCAGAAATGTTCCATGGGTTTGTAGAGGTGAGAGCCGAGACAGTAAGAAGGAAGGAAGGAACGTGCTCCGATGATCGAATGCCTCGGTGTATGATCAAGGCAGAGCGTGTGTGGATGTGTTTGTATGTGGAGTGGCAGGGACTCTCGGGAAGCAGCCAGTAGGCAGGGCACTTGGCAGCCCCTCCCGGCAGACGCGGCAGCTGGGCTTCTGCACAACGCTGGGTGAATGGCAGTGGGGAGAAGGGGAGAGTTCTGTCTGCCGCCGCCCGGGGACCGCAGTAGCACAGCTCGACTCCGCGCGTCAGCGTTCCTAGAAGAAACTCCAGCCCCCCTTTGCTTCCTACCTGTGGAGCCAGAAGCGTCCCGTGCTTTCTGCTTATAGAGAGTGAGACAGGGCTGGCTATAAATCACAGGTTCACAGATAAAACTGGAACAGCAGTGGAAGTGTGTGGAGATCAAGTTTACAAACTATGCCGGGGGGAGGGGGGTGAAGGGGGTTCTTCCTAAACAATGCAATTAAACAAGAAAAGCCTTCTGGGATACATTTGGACCAAATGTCCTAGCCCCACTTCACCTCTGGATGGGATGCTCAACGGCCATGCTACCAGGGGCATAAGGAGGTCAGACTCTGCAATAAATATTTTGGCATTCCAGGGATATGTGTCCAACTGAAATGCAATACTCCCCCACCTCATTAACCAAACCCATGAGCCTCTCCACCCAGAGACCACTGACTGCTGTCTATAAACACATCCCCCCCGCCAAAAAAAAAAAAAGATATTTTAATCTTAGAGCTGTGAGCGAAAAGCAGCTTTGCTTTAAACTGATCACAAGTTGGTTGTAGACAGAGGTCTCTTCCAGCAGTGATTTCGAATAGATGCACCTGGTTCTCAGCTCTTCTCTCCACCACAGGACAATGCAGAGTACTAAGGTACCCTGCCTCTGCCCTCGCCCTGGGTCCCAGGACTCGGGAGGTCTAGCGAAGTCTCTGTTGCCAGACATTAGTCACCACCTTAGGTATTAAGTGACTAATCACAATGCCAGGAGTGGCCAGTCTCCGGCCCTAGGACCCTAAGCAGTTACCAAGAGATTTATGAGTGGCCCTTGAACCAGTACAAAGAAAGTAATAGAGAGAAAAAAAGACTAATGATATCATGCTTCAACTATACATTTTTTTGTTTTTGTTTTTGGAAAGATGAAAGGTCATAATATCAGAACATAGACAAGTTCCCTCAACAATCTGCCGTGACCATAAATATCTAATATAAATATTGAGAGCTGTGGTGTGAGTCGTAAGCATTCACTCAGCATATGGGAAGCCCAGGGTTTGAGTTCCAGCGCTGCACAGATTAACAAGCAAGTAAGTATTGAGAAGAAAGGTTGTTAGCCCTTCGTTGATGATAATGTTGAATCCTGGAGATGGTGGCGCCTCCCGTAGATCAACCGTGGACAACCATTCACCAAGTCAGTCCAAAACAAAAACATGCAAGAAAGGAGGGAGAGAGAAAAGAAAACAAGAGAGTCAAGGAAAGTTGGAATTAAAAAGAGAAAAGGGGGGGGGGGGTAGAGACCTGCAAGGGAAGGGTAAGAAGGCAGCCATCATCTCAGGGACTTTGGCTGTGGAGAAGTTTATGATCCCAGTTAGCCTGAGATAACCCAAGAAAGACATTTCCAGGAATAGCTTTCAGACTCCTCTTGGTAAACTCTGTCTCCCAGTCTCCTAGGGCCAGGGTTGTGGGGGAAGCATGACAAACTATGCTGGTTGTCCTCTGGTGCTCTAGCCAATGATTTTCTCTTGGATTCTCGCCTCTCTCTCCTCTCTTGACTCCCACATGTGGCCTCGTGGCATGCCCAGGTGAAGGAGAGAGCGTGAGCTTCTCTTGCCCTCCTGCCCAGGGTGATCTCTCCAGATGTCATGGACAGTGGTCTCCTGCTGAGAACCAGCTAATGCAAACACCCACCTTCATTCTCTCCCTTCCTCAACACAGCGCTCCCTTCAGTCTCTTTGGACACAGCATCACTGGCTTCCCTCTGGTCCCCCACATTAAAACATCACCGCTTCCTCTAGGGCCTGGCACTCTTTTGCCTTCTGTAGCTTTGTGCTCTCTTCCTTCCCATTGCGTTCCCGGCCCCCTTTTGGGCGCCTCTTACCTCCCAAGGACAGCTCCTTCTGTCTCTTTCCTCCTCTAGCTCTTCCCTGATCCTGGCCTCAGTCTCCTTTCCTGACCTTTCACTACTGCAGGTTCTACCTTGTCCAAACTCAGCTCCACCATCATCCCAAACCCCAGCTTCTTTAAGAGCCAAGGCCTTCCTCTCTCCCAGACCTGTCCTTTCTAGTCTACCGCCTCCAACAGGTAGCCTGGGCCACAGTCAGATGAAAATCCCTTGTTCAAAAGACCTCCCCAAAGCTTGTCTTGATTTTTTTTTTCTTGGAATATCCACTTTGCTGGCTTGGCAGGAAACACACACGCCTTCTTGAGGTTTGGCCCAAGCACATCCTCATGGTCGTCATCCTCTGTGCCCTCCCTCCTCTGTGCCTCCTCTCTCCTCTGAGCCTCCATTGTCCTTCCCAGTCATCGATCACCTTCCTCCCTGAACTGAAGTCATTTTTATCACCTCAGCCCACGGAGGAACAGCTCAAACACAAGGTCTGACTCTGAGAACTTAAACACATAGCATCTTGTCTGGCCACTGTTCGGTCACCAAATATGGGCTAATTTCCTATCTAGATACTTCAAGTGACAAAGTAACATCCCATCTGTCTGAATGCCCATGTCTGACAACTTTCCACATGACCATGACCATCCAGCACTTTCCAAACTCTTTGTTTGTTTGTTTGTTTTGTTTTGTTTGTTTTGTGTTTTTGCTGGGATGTTTGTCTTCCTGTCTTCACAGCAACTGGAGCTATAAAAAAATCAAACTTCAAATCCATCTAATCCTGAGGCACAAGCTGGCAGTGCTCAGCAGCATGATTCACCAGAGAGCTTTCCATTTCAGTTCTTAACCAGACAGGACCAGGAGCAGACACAGCTTC